CTCATGTAGTGCTAGATATGAATTATGTAATTTCATAATGGGTGACCTTCTGTGCAGATTGAAAGGCAGTGAAAATTCTATTCCTAAGCAATAGAGAGCCAGATCAATGCGCACAGGTTTACACAACACCATGCACTTCTTTCTAAATGAAGGACAGTCAAAGATGTGACCATGCAAAAGACGGCATCATACTTTCAAGTAAACATGTCAAAAAGAAAACTTGAGCTGAGGCATATTTTATCGCAGAATACACAAATAGCAGCCAGATTAATACACGCTTTATGGATGTGATACTCTGTTAGTAATTCACAAACACGGTACACATACAGATGGCTAGATCCTCCACAAATACAGCTGTGCAAATATTGATTTTTTTTTCTGTTGTCTTTTAGATTCGGAGTGGCAAACTAATGATCACCAACACTAGGAAGAGTGATGCAGGGAAATACATCTGCGTTGGAACCAACATGGTGGGAGAGAGGGAGAGTGAGATTGCCGAACTCACGGTGCTTGGTAAAATATGCAGCTTTTTGATTGCATTTCACAATGTTGCAGTACTTCACTTAGTCTGAGTACTTCCAGTTCTCAGTGCCTTGCCAGTCCACTGTACAATGCTTTTTTCACTGGGGTATAATAACCCATTAATTATTTTGATTATGCAGCTCTACCACCCAGTCTACCAGCTTTAGCAAATTTCCCCACTGAACATGCACTGAACATCTAACAGTGCTACATCTAATGTTATAACCTTTCAGTATAAGAGCTCCCTATGGTACGGTGCTTCTTCTAGTGCCGCCTCCTGCTTCTAGCCTCTATTCTCAATCCCCCACTTATTTTCCCAACACTTTCCATTAGAATAGAGCTCTTATCTGTACCACATCGTTAGATGGCCTTGGTTCAGGTTGCAAATATACAATGTAGTGGCTCAAAGAGCCTGTCAAATAAATGTGGAAAATCCTGCTGAATGCAGAAGCATATTAACATATGCTGTTTTCCGGGCTGTACAAAATAAATGGCTTATGGAGATAAATATATGATTATCTATAGAATTTCTTTATGTTTCACAGTCATGTCAAACCTGATTTTATTGTATTTATTTAATCCCAGCAAATAATAATTTATACTTATTTGGGTGAAAAGTTGAACCACTCAAAAATAACATACTGATTATAAAAGTTTGTTCAAAACTCAAATGTACCTCAAATGATTTGAAAAAGTTATTAATATGAAGGACTTTTTCTGCTTGTTCAGAGGGGTTAAAATCAGATGACTTTGGAAGAAAGTTCATGACAGACAACATTTCATGGTCTTCTACTACAATAGGCCTTGAGAAGCCATAACATGCATTAGATCCCATTATTCTGCTGTAATGTGAATCGCACTGCACAAGCATTTGATCTTTTCCCCAAAAGTGTTTTGTAGACAGCTACTCATTCTCTGTGACTGCCTTGAACCAGAACATTTCACAGAACTTTTGCTGGTTGTAGTCCTGCTTTCTGTATCTCAAACAAGTTGCTTTGCAATTTTTAACTTTTGCAAAACTTGATGTATTGATGTTCTGTTGGTGTGCATAGTCCTCAGTCCAGCCATGATATGATGCAGAGGAGAATAGAATAACAATCTGACTTCTGACGCTTCAGCTGTTCGAACACGCTGTTTCCCACACAGAGTACTCAGTAATAAACTCTCAACCATATTTATAATAGGTGAACAATTGCAGCAAGTGGATTTACTTGGGTGAGCCTTTGATGAGTAGATTAAATCAGTCTGAGTGCCGACTGATCCCTGCTTCAAAGGATTTGATATGATCCAAGACTTCTTTCCATTTTTGTCAGCTTTTCAATACTCATACCTTCTGAGCCCACAAACACGATGAATTTGATCCTGTAATGATGTTTGTTCCTCTTACTACTGTGCTGCCATATAGAGCGTCCGACCTTTGTGAAGCGGCCCAGCAGTGTAGTGGTGCTGGCAGAGGAGAGTGTGGAGTTCAGCTGTGTTGTCCAAGGAGACCCTGTTCCCACTGTCCGCTGGAGGAGAGATGATTCTGACCTGCCTAAGGGCAGGTAACACACAAAACCCCTCTACATTCAGTAACTGACCATGCAAACATGGTGTTTCCACTTGTTCTTTCATCTCTTGGGCATGTGTGTGTGTGCATGTCTGTCCTGCCAGCAGATTTGAAATCCTAGAGGACCATACCTTGATTGTTCGCCAAGTGACCTCTGCAGACGAAGGCTCTTATACATGTGTGGTGGAGAACATGGTTGGGAAGTCTGAAGCGTCTGCCACGCTCACTGTACATGGTCAGTACAACCCAGCCTTCACACTTAATGCTCTACAATCGAAGCACCTTCTTCTCATGTATATGCAGTCCACATATTTTTTTTCAAGGCCTCAGGTTTCATTTTAATGGATGAGAAGTGTTTGCCTAAGAGTTGTTCCTAACAGGAGACCTAATCCTGTGTCATAGTGTCACAAATTTACCAAGAAATGACTTTTACACAGCCGGGCGTTCAGCATGACCACGCTTTCATCATTGTGCCTTCTTGTACCGAATAATTGTTTCTAGGGTGTGTTTGTCTTAAGGCCTGAGGGTCATATAACAACAGCTAAGAAGGCATAATAAAAGTTTGTTTGTGCAAACTAAAATGAGCATCAGAAGGAAATGTTCGTGACTGCAGGAGCTAAATTAATTTGGTCTAAGCTGTAATGCCACAATGACACCCTTAAGTTCTTAAATCAATGACAGGAAATAGGCAGTGAGATATCTCTCATGGTTGCACATGCAAACCAGTACGCATAAATACACACATACAGAGAGGCAGTTGGTGACATATACTGCAAAGACAGTAGGACTTAATTAAAGACGAGCTGGTTACATGCTGGGGACTGACATGGTTCCAATTACATTGTCTTCCTCCTCCAAAAACCTGAGAAAATGAGCATCGGGGGGGGGCATAGCTAAATTTGGCAAACAATGGAAAAGACCAGGAATACAGCATTTGATGTTGTATTACTAGATTAAAAAGATAGTTATTTTAGTGAATGCATGTTTCATATTAAAAAAGAAGAAAAGAAAAAAAAGCCCAACCTCTGTATGGCTCAAATCATAGTCACAACCCTAACCACAGAATCATTTTTACTGACCTAGAACATTTGGTTGATATTAAACAATTGCCATTATAAACAGTTGTAGTAAGCCAAGGAGCTTAGTCATAATAATTTTGCACAAGTTCCAAGTATGACATTGTTCTGGAATTACTAAATTAATATGTATTTATTCTGCCTGTATTACTTCTCTCTACTTTTCTCTCTCTCTCTCTACTCTAGAGATGTGGATAGATATGGCTATTTATAGAGAGGGTGCTTAAGCCATGCTTTACCACAGTATCCACAGCAGTGTAGCACTGTAGTTCCAAAAGCAGCTGGTTAGCAAGCAATTCATTGCACTATAAATCTAGCTTTGACATCTTAAGATTTCCAGTGTTTCCCATCTACAAATGCATGTTTGTTAGTGTGGAAATTTTACAGTAGCTCCTACTTTTCCCCTCTATCCAGACACAATGCTTCATCCGCATCTCACCCTTTATGAGTTTTATGTCCTCATTAACCAATTGTACGTCTGTTAAACTATGCCTCTAGGCTGGCTGGCTCTGACTCAAACTGGCAATTACATGTGTTTTTCACACGTCACAGCCAATAAGTCTGCTGCACATAACTGGGGATAGACAGCCTGCTTTACTCTTTAACATCTGTGCTTTTCTTCCATTTCTTTAACGAGACATTGTGGGGGGTAACCTGTGTCACTTGAGATCCCTTTGAGAACACTAATCATATTTTTAAAAAAATTATACATCATACATCACACTTTATAAAAATAGAAGAGAAATAATAGTTTTGAAATGCTACTAACCACAATGATGAAGAATAACTGGAAGGATTATTGAATTGGCCTAGTGTGCACAGTGCAGGGTACCGAAGGGGCCAATGAGTTCCTAAGTAAGATTTTTTCATTTAACGTGACCAACAATGAAATCAGTAAAAGAAATTAAACAACTAGCTTTCACACACACACACTACAGTCTTTCTGCATATTAGCGTAAATGTCAGAAACAGTCCAATCAGACATTAAATAGACCTCAACCTACCATGTGTCCATGTGATGTCCGCTGTTGCATTATTTTGCAGTGGGAAAATAGCTTGTATTACAGTCTGGTGAAATCACGGCAAGCAAGGCTGTTCTTCTGTCTGCACGCTCTACCTACACAGCACCATCACATAAAGCAGACAGAGCATTTCCTAAAGTAAAGCAGGTCGTCTCTTATGGAGCACCAACAGGGAGAAAGTGTAGCTTTGGACACCTGATGTGAACTACAGAGAAACTAAATGATTGCAAGCTCATGAACAGAAATACACAAACCAGCCCCGGAGAGACAGAGCGAGAAAGGGAAAGAGATAGAGAACAACCACAAGGTGAAGCAGAATAATAACAAAGCACCTCTTTGACAGTTTATTTTGGAAGTCTTGCACATGTGATCAGGTGCCTACAGTTTCATAACCCTTCAATGAACTGTAGAAAAAAAAATCTTTTAAAACTGTCCCTGCATCATTGCAATTGTGTGTGCATTGTGTGTATTCACCCTGATTATTCATTGCGCTGCTTTTTTGTGTGTCTTTTTTCCTTGTAGTCAATACTGGTAAGTTGTCGTCCATCCCTCATCCACCATCAGACAGCAACAAGAACTCATGAGTCCCTGTCACTGTCCTATCTTCACTGTAATTCCATCCACCACTACAGTATGTAATTCATGTTATGTGTGGGTAAATGAATAAAATATGTAAAGCTTTTCTCACACACACACACTAATGTTATAATGCTGAGAATGATAAAAAATGTGTAATGCTGACAGGTAATTAGGACCTCTCTTCTTCTGCAGTGCCCCCGGCTTTTGCCATTCGTCCCAGGAACCAGGTGGTGGCAGTGGGCAGGACGGTCACCTTCCAATGTGAGGCTACTGGCAACCCGCAGCCTGCTATTTTCTGGCAGAGGGAGGGCAGTGAGGTGAGACTGACCCTTAGTCTGTCATCACACTACTAAATCACTGCACAGTGTAAATAAAGATAATGAATGGCTAACTGTGATCTTCATCTCCCCTCTAGAGTCTTCTCTTCTCCTACCAGCCACCGCAGCCCTTTAGCCGGCTGTCCGTCTCCCAGATGGGCAGTTTGACCATTACCAATGTTCAACGTAATGATGGTGGCTTTTATAGCTGCCAGGCTCTTAACATCGCTGGCAGCGTTATTACCAAAGCGCTGCTGGAGGTTACAGACTGTGAGTAAAAGGAAGTGGTGATGGAGAGGGCAGAGGAGGGGACTTTTATGTAGCTCTTTTGCAGCTTCATTCTTTTGTCTTTTGGCTAAGTGGACTACTTTGTGGCAGCAGTCTTGTTTTGTTGAGCAGGTAAATTAAACTACAGTTTTGTTTTGGCTACAGACGGCAGTAATATGGGTGTGGTGGTTTGCCTTGGCTTCAGTCAGGAGAGGGATTTTATGAGATATTGTCCACATGTTGGGCTCAGAATAGTTGGTTTCTGCGGTGACTGTCTATAAAGAGTGTCTGTATTTACAGCGCTGTGCAAAAGTTTTGAGCTAGTCCTCAGTTCTTTATATTTACTTCCAAGGGGTCAGAATTTCTTGTAATTTTTTTAAAGTGGTTTTGAGGAGTATGTCTGCAGTAGTTGTGGTAGCAGTATTTATTTATTTTTTTTTATGTTGGTTGCTTTTCCACAGTAGTTTTATATTTTCAGATTAACACTTATCTGTTTATTTTTATTTATTTGTTGTTAACTCAAGCAACAGTATCTGTAAGTCAGGTCCTTTCACAAATGGGGGAAAAAATCCAGCAAAGACCTGACACTGGACCTGAAAGATGCATCTAGCTCTTCAGCTGATCTGTCTACTTTTGGATGAAGCCTCACCAGAAATGATCTCAGTGGAATGGTGGCTGTCAACTAGTCGTTCTTAAGGAAAGGAAACAGGGAGAAGAGGCTGAGATATGACAAATTACATGAGAACCATGCTAAAAATCAGAGGCAACAGATGCAATGATGAATCCAAATTTGAAGGAGGTGCTTGGGAGAAGTACAACAGGAAGTGCTTACAGCCATCTGTAAAACATGGTGGAGGCTCTGTCGTGGTTTAAGTATCTTGTCAAAATGGATGTACTTATGCAGAATATGTGCCATCAGATTTTGATCCACCATGCAAAACCATCTGGACAGTGTCTGATTGGCAGCAGCTTCATTTTTCAGCAAGACAATGATACCACACTGCCAATGCAACAAAAGCATACCTGGATAGAAGAACTTGGGATTGTCTTGGCAATAAACAAAACAAAAGGCAGGCAGTATCCAAATAAGAGCTTTTTCTCATCCAAAGAAAAAGAGCTCATAGCGCCAAACAGTCATTGTAAGATATATTAAATTGTAAGGTAAAGACTCTACTTAAAGACATTACAAGAAAGCTTGCCTAAGAGAGTTCAGGCTGTGTTAAAGACTAAAGGTACTCATGCCAAACATTTTAGCTCATTAGAATTATGTATGTTTGCAAGTTTCAATAAATTGCTTCATGTGTTTCCGGTTTTCCCAGCAACATATAAAGAAATGTGTTTTGACTCAAGACTTTTGCACAATACTATATAAATCTTCTCTTAAAGAAACATTTCCCAACCTGCAATTGTGCAGTAAATAGTCTAAATAAAGATGGCTGCACTGATCATCATTAATCATTAGTTTGCCTTAACACAACACAGCACAGACTGGTTTATTGTACTCTAGATCTAGAGTTCAGTATATGAGGTTTTTATAGAAATTGGTCTGAGGGACTCTCATCCAAACTATACATGATGAAATAACTATGCTGATTGCCTTAAAAAGCAATTTGAATGTGCTCGGAGGCCTACAAAAGTAATTGCAGACACAAGTAATTGTGCACCTGTGTGGTGATGAATAACTACTTGTACGTCTGTGTGAGTTCTATGTACGTAAATACATTAAAGAAAATAATTGCTTCAGTTTTGAACAGACTGGTAATGCATCTACACATTGAGTGGATCAGTGCACCTCTGTCAGTTGTCGTGGACAGTATTCTGCCCATACCGATAATGTGTCCTGCAGCCACCTTAGTATGAAAGTGAGAGTCTATTCAGTAAAAAGGAGGTGGGCTGTTCATGGGTGTTTTTAGGATTTTTTCCAGCAGTCTGCACAGCTCTACACTCTCACTTGCACATTTTTTTCTCTCCACTCTCCCCTCCCCTAAATTCTATCCATCCTACCACACGCCTCTCATCCCCATTTAGAGTAGTGCATTTGTATGGTAATAACTGGTTCACATTACCTCTGGCAGTTTTCAAGGCACACTTCCATCACCTTTTTTGGAGGTTTTTTTTGTATTTTTTATCTAGAGCCCCTGCTCCCATCCAGGGGTTTTTTTTTTTTCAAATGTAAGAGAGCGAGAGAGTCTGTTATCTAAGTTAGACTGTTATTAGTTGGGCTTTGCCGACATGATTGGATCCGGCTCCAGCAGTACCTACAACCCAATGAACGATTAGTTGCTCTCCGCTGGAGGGGAAAAGTTGATTTCTTTTTCCTCCGCTGCCTGCGCAGCCACCTAAGCTTATTGTTCTCCCTCTTTACCAATTTACCCCTCAATATCTTCCACATCTTATCTGTCTTTTGTTTTTTTCCCAGGCCTTCATTTTCTCAACTATTCTCAGTTCTTATTTTTATTTTTCTCTTTATAACTTTAACGTTTTATTAAAATGAATTCCTAATCTCAAATTCTGTAATATACCACTGGCAAAGACATTGTTGTAGAGAAGAAAATGCAGAAAAGGGTTGGAGGGGGAAAAATGTCAGCTAAGATCTCACTTGTCCCCCAGCCACTGCCCATAT